AAACGCAGTCTGCCGAAGTTTTTTAACTCTTCCTTTAATTTCAGTAAGAGCATACACGAGGGCGTTTCTGCTGCCGAGTTGGATGGTGTGCAGTATTTGCAGAAAAACAATTCAAGTGGGGGAAAAAAGAACTTAAACGTCTAGAAGTAGGCACTTGTTTATAAGTAATGAAGGCAGCAACCCTCAGTAGGATGTAGAGTTTGTAAATATAAATATATACGTGTGTGTGTGCTTTCCAAAGTGCTGCTCACTGATGCAGCCATTATAAGATGGTACCCCCTCTTCACCTCTGGCTTGGATAAATTTGCTTCTACTCAGATGGAGTCTCTGTGCAGATGTTTTACTGGCTTAGCTACAAATGCCATTCAAAACCAGCTAGGTTCAGCTTCGGGTTTGGACTCTCCATAGAGTTTAACCTTGTTTATATCTTGCATCTGATGCTCAGCAATGATGAGCAATACAATCTGAGTCTTTCACAATGCTGATAGAGGTCTGCCAGCACTAAGAATCCTGAAACTATTAAACTGTGATATTTTCATAGTTTGTTAGGGGTGGCTGATGACTTTAACCTTACGTACAAGGACAAGTCTGCCTCTTCTGTTCCCTTGCCATCACCTCTTTAGAAAATTGATCTTACTGGAAGATTTGCTTCCTCCTTTCCCACCTTCCTGGGACAAAGGCTTTCTCCCTCTATGTCATCTTCTGAATGTCTGGCACTTCCCTAGAAGGAAAGAAGACAACCATCATTTTGGGGAGAGGATGAGTTGCCTCAGCCCTTTCCCTTTTCAGTGCTGAAGAGAAGAGGCTGTACAGCCGTCAGTATTGCAGCTGCGGAAACAGAGGCAAAAATACAGTGATGTTAGTAACCGTGTAGCCTGTTCTGTGTGTGCAGTGACAGCACAAGCATATTGGAATTTAATATCATACCCTTGCAAACAGACTTTTCATGTAGTGCCAAACATAAATAGCCCCCATCGGGTTGGTTCTGCAGCATCTTCTCAGCTGTGCTGAACTGATGTATATAGAGTTACACAATGAACTGATTTGTCTTAGAAGGGATTTATTTTTTTACCCAGATTAGTGGCCTGACCCAGTTCGCAAGCAGAGAGCTATACTGGTACAACTGAGGGAATGAATGACTGGGAGTAGGGGCTACTTGAGCTGCCTCTAGCTGAGAGAGACATTCATATGGCCAGAGCTGTAGCATCAGCTGGTGTGTACTTAGAACTGTGATACTGCTCGAAAAATACTGTGTAGTACCTGTGCTGCAGTTACCACTATTAGTAAACATTAATTAAGCATAGTTATCCAAGCAAGTATTACTGGTTTCAGTGAGGTGATGCTATAAATTTCATTTCAGGTAGTGCAATTTTTCTGGACACACAAGATGTCAGAGCTGATGTTTGTACAAAACTTGCACTCAAATAGGCAGACTGTAAATAAATACGATTCTTTTGATGCAAGATCCTCATGGACGCACTTCAGAATACCTGAAATAAGGTGCATTACTTTCTGTTGCAGTCATTGAGCTAGGTTGGTGAAATTCAGTTTTCAATCTCATATTTTATTTTGAGGTGCAAACTGAATTATATGATGTTATTCTGGAAAATATTCTGCCTTACTGGACACTAGTCTTCTACAAACACTGTGGCTGTTATGGTTAGGTTGCGATGGTTCTATCATCAGAGTGTTGGAGGAGTTGATCTTTGGTTTAGGATGCTTTTGAAATGCAGAAAAAAACCCAGTATGGAGTGTTTATGACTTTATAACTGACTTTTTTGAGCTGGGTATTCACTAAAGTCTTAAAAGTCACTCTGACAAACTCTTTGAGTAACCAGTCTTGGTACTACCTAACAAATAGGTTTCAGTTTCTATTCCTATCATTTCTCCTCAGTAAAACACACAGATACAAAACTTTCAAGAGAAGACTTGCAACCTGACGTGATTAATTGCTATGGTCTTCCATTATTGCATAAGATGGAGGATTTGAAGCAGTAGTCAGAACTGGCAAGAACTAGACGGCACAGCCATTACTGAGATCATAGAATTACTAAGATAGCTCAGCAGGAGGCAGTGCACCTGAACATGCTTTTTAGGCTGTTCAGATGCTATGCATCAATTACCCCCCTAATTTAGCAAGAGTGATCAGAAATTCTTACTTAGTTCCTCTAAGGTGGAACTGCTCAAAGTTACATGTCTTCTTGCTGCTGCTGAAGCACCCATGGGGAGCCACACTGCTACAGCCTCGCCTCTTTAATTTTAGCCTTCTGGGCAAGGGGACCGCCTGGGACAGCCATGCTGGTGAGTGTATCTCCAGGATACACAAGGCTGATGACCCCTGTGGTTTTTGGGGGAATGTCCCGGAAGGAAACTTGTCAGTTACATTGGTACATGCCTTTCCTCATTTGAATGAGCACGAATAAAAGCTAAACATACACAGTTTTGCCATCAGGTGAACTAATATATATGCATGGTATTATATACCAATAAGATGGTCAGTCAGAGTATGTTAAATAGATAAACCCAGAATGGAGGCGAGTGATCCTATCTGGGATCTAAGCTTATATACTTTATAAATAGTCTCCAAACATGTAGGATGGGAATCAGTCTGGTAGATGCTTATATTGCTTCATTTCTGCAGTTAGTTATGCAATGAATTAAAGATTTATCTGGCATCTTTTAATAAATGGCATGAAAAATCTGTCCCTTACGAATCTTGGATAAAAGCTTCACTGAAAGGTAACTTTATTGTTGCACTGTGGCATACTTTTCTCCCGAGTGATTCTGAATTCACCATCTGTTATAGTCCAGCAGTAGCTAACAAGGTTACCTCTTCTTCTGAAGAGCAGGATAGCTGAAGAAGATTGGAGGATTTATAACTCTGAAGATTGAAGAAGATTGTACGTAGATGTCAGTTTTCCTTTGTAGCTTAGGGCTGTGTAGTTTAGTCACTCAGTAGATGGTCGCTATGGGAAATTAAAATTTACTACCCAAATACAAACTTTTGTTTAGAAACCTCTAGGTGTCTTGTGTTTTTTTATATCACGGTATTTTCTGAAAAACTCCTTAACACAGGCATGTAACAGTAAAAGAAAAGGAAAAAAGCTGCCATTTCTTGAGGACTGCAGTGCAGTTTGCGTCAAGAGAATAGAATGAGTTGTGTTAACATAGGGAGGCTGTTTTGGAATATGTAGCTGCTGTATCACCACAGTATTTTCAAAGAAAAAGTAGTATTTGTATGGATGGTGCTTTCTTAATAAATGGGTAGAAGATGCTGCTTTGAATAAAACAAACAAACTTGTTTATTCTCATTTGACCTGTTAATCTAATGAAATACCTGCGTTATAAAAGATAGTAGCAGTCGATTGTCACCCATTTATTTTAGATGTTTATGAAGTGATTTGGGGGAAAATAGCTTGCAAAGTTGACCCTGATAAGATACTGTTTTTTAAAAGTTTGAAGTGGCAGTTTAGGTCCTCTATAGCATATTAAACGTAGCAGGGCTTATAGCTATGGCATTCAATTTATGAAGAGCTAACTTGGTATCTCATGAGAACTGATGAGGCAGAATATAATTTACATGTTATAATTTGGCTGTAGCAGTTCAGGAACTGCGATATTAAAATAGTGGAAGAAGCTGGGGCAGACAGGTCAATTCATATATTTTCTTTATTAAGTCTGCATTTCATAAACGGGGATATGATAGTATTTCCTTGTATAAGTCCATAAAAAATATAATCTAATATTATTGCATATGGTGTTTGCAGAGCAACTCACTAGTTAAGTTTTTAGTTACAATACTAGAATGAATAGAGCGTTACTATTGATCTAAAATTAATTATTCTCCAAATATTTTAAGCCTAAAAGTAAAAACTATAAAAAATGAAACCAAAACTTTAAGGTCACTTTATTTTGCAGTGTTGTAGTAACTCTTTAAATTATTTTACTATGTAAGAGATCTAATGAGACTTGTAATTGATTTTTCTGTTGCCTATGTTACCTTAAGCCTGAAAAGAAGTCAGTAATAATGACTGAGTGATCGAGTCCATGAATCTACTTCGAGACTTTTTAAATAGATGCTTTCTTCAAACATGTTAGCTATAGGTATTGACAGTCAAAATTTCAGAGCTTATATATTACTACATTTATATTGTAGGAGTACATGTAAACTAGCAGAGTGTTGAAAATTTATGCCTCAAGGCATAAATTCCATAGATGGAAATGTGTGAAGTCTCATTAAGGAAGAATGCTTCCCAGTCTACCATTGTCTGTTTGCTGAATCTATGTTATTATATGCAGGTAAAACATAAAGAGTCTAAATTTTTACAGGGAACAACATTTCTGATTCTAGAAAATTGGTTTAAGCTAAATATACTAAATAAATCTATACATGTCCCATATTTTGTATATGCTTTCAAATTACATATTCCGTTGATTTTAAGACCTATAGGCTCTGATAATCCAAATCCAAATTGCCAGCAAACTGACTGGTAAGAGAACAGGAGCCTGAAACACCCCTTCTTGTCAATCAGACTTACAGAGATTTCTTAAGAATTTACTACTTTACTTGTAGTTCCCTGTAATAATCAAAAACTACCCAGATGAACTCTATGATGGGGAATAGCTATCAGCTGGGTAGAATATAGTCCTGAGCTACACCCTTTACCTGCTATATATTTAGGCCATATGAGATAGATACTTTCTCTAAAATGGCTGCTACCCCTGGAGGTAGTGATACTAGCCAGGTATGTGTTTTCTCAATTTCTTTTTAATAAAACAGAAATACTAGTTTTTTCAACAGAAGTTAGATTTGGTTTTATGTGTACAATAGTACTTTTTAACGTCAAAGCTTCAGCTGCTGATTTTCCATATTTAGAAAGCTTTTTATGGTTGTACTGTGGTCAGATAATACAATAAGGTTACAAAATAGACCTTTTGGAGCTGTTTGTATTAAGTTCTTTCTATTTAAATTTTAATCTGTTTCTTGCTGGCTAATTTTTTGTAGTGGATGAGAGTTACTGTCCTAAATTTATAAGAAGGTGGAGGATGCAGTATGTCCCACTACTTGGCTGCTTTCTAGCTCTTGATGCTTTTTAAATCTTTTTGCATTGGACACTGCTTCATACCCGAGTTGATCATTTTAACTATAGAAATGCTTTGGGCTAGGTTTATGATGATTAATCGGGGGAAGAAAATTAATTATACATCTGTCTTAAGTCACTGTATTTCAGCACTAATAGAAGTTTATTTTGAAGCGTGTATTGGTGAATATGTCCAACTAAGGGAAAAATAAACTTCTTTCCATGATTCAAAGACAAGAGAAAGGTGGTGTGATGTCTGAGCAGCTATGTTTAACTAGCTGGTCTTTGTTTTCTTAATTGTAAAAAAAAATTTCAAGATCAACAAATATTATAAAGGAGCTGCTGAGAAAGTAATTTAAGTGCATTGCTCTTTTGTAGTGTAAAAATTCTAAGAGCCATCCGTATTTAAAAAGTTATAAATCTGTTTTCCCTTTTATTAGGATATCCGGAAATTCTTTGGTGTTGTTCCTTCTGGAAAGCGACAAGAATGTGAGACTGTGAAAAAGAGTGAAAAAATTAAAAATGGTGAAGGACCTTCAAGTGGGAAGAAAAAGGGAAAGGAGGCTAAGGTTAGTTTTGCTTTTCTTATTTGTGAAGTGCTTGGTTTCTCTGATGTAGGATTGTTCGTATCTCTAGCATTTTTTAAAGTCATTGTTCTTGCCGTATACTCAAAACCCAGACTATATGTCAGTTTTTATAGGCATGGGAGGAAACTACCACTTAATATTAACTTCTAGCAGCAAAACTTTTGTAGGTGGTGAAGAAAATTGCTAATTTAAAAAATATTTGGGTTGTAGGGCAAAGGAGAGGTAGGTAGAAGTTGTTATGGTTAGGTGCTAATGTAGGAATAATCTGATGCATTTGAAGTTATTTTAGCTATAGCCATAGTTTTCTAAGTAGCTCTGCTTATTTAATTTTTAATTTAATTAAGATTGAGGCTTACGCGCAGTAGATGTATACATATCATAAAGATGTCATACTTTCAAGCAAGGTAAAAGTCTGTGGTGTAGGTGCCCTCTGACTGGTTTTTTTAACCAGGTGTGTAGGGGAAACATTAACACTGCCTTTCTTGGACGGGGTCACTTACATAAACCTGTTGCAAAGACCAAATTCTGTAAAATGACAGGTTAAAATTAGATTGGGTTCTAGTCTCAGAGTACTTTTCATGTTAATCATCTGAACTGATATAAAAAAAAAGGAGTGGCTGAAGAGGGCTTTAAAATCACTTAGGGAATGCGAGGAGGATGGAACGTTTAATGTGAAGCATCACAATCCAGAAGTACGATGTTACTTAAAAATATTCTGGATGTATAATTTCATTGTTTCAATGTGATTTCAACGTGAAAATAAAGGACCGTTCAGTGGAACTGAAAGACATAGCAATTATCTTATGTGATCTATTATTTTTACTTTGCAATTCTCCAATTATATCAAGGATTTAACAGGTTCCAGATTAGAATTGAATGTGGATTATAAAATGTGTAGTTATGTTTATCTAGAATTATATTTTTAGAAGCATTTACAGCTGTGCATGACTACAAAACAAGCATAGTTGGTAGTTTGGTAGGCCCAGGAAACTTCCTATCTGTGCAGCTTGTGATTTTTCTAAATGTCTAAAACTTGTTGATGTCTTTTTAAAAAAAAAAAAAAAAAAATTTCCTTGGGACAGTTTAATACTAGCAGCTGCTAGATAGAACATGTTTGTCGACTGTGACCACTGGTGCAATCTCTTATGGTAGTTGCAACTGCTTACCAAGTGAGAGGAGAAGCTGCAAGCAACCAGGACACTGAACAGGAAATCAGTCTAGCTTCAGCTCTTGTGTATGCTTTTTTCCTTTTTCAACTGGCTATATTTTACTCTGAAGTTCTGTCGAATTCTGGTGGTTACAGCAAAGCCATGTCCAGAATGGAACCAAAAGTGAAAGCTGAATTCCGTACAAGCTACTTAGTGGCCTGTACCATCTCTATTTCTGGTGGGACCATGCAATTTCTTTTTTGGATTAAAAGTTGGAAGTGCTTGAAAAACTGTTTGATTTACTTTAATTGGCATTAAACATGCATATTTATTCTCAACATAATCATCTACAGTTTGCTTGAAGCATGTTTAGCTTTACTGCTGCAGTTTCTTCCTTATTTCCTCTGCCCTGTACCTTTCCCACTCCCGCTCATGAGTTAGCACAAGACTGTTCATAAATATGATATTGGGAAATAAATAATTTCTGTTAGAATTTGTTTGAAACTCATAAATTTGAATGTGTAACTGAGTAAAAGCTTGAAGGACCTGTTTACTGGTTGAACTAATGGATTGTTACTCTTAGGTGAATAATTCACCCGGTGAAGATGATTCCAAACAAAAGCGGACAAACAAGAAAAAAAGAATAATCTACGATTCAGGTAGCGTTCACAGTTGTTTCTGAATGCTCCTTTGTACCTTTTGCATCAGCATTCAAGGTCAACTAGGTAAATGGTACATCTGAAAGAAAGCTGTGGTTTGTTTGGTGTTTTTGTTTTGGTTTTTTAGTAAATGCAGTTAAAAACATTTTTCACAGTAATTATTGCTGGATAGCTAAACATATTCGAAAATAAGAGTGCACTGTGTGCCATGCATGCAATATACGGTGTAAAGTAACTTTTAACAAAACCTCTGTTTAAAAACAAAACCAAAAAACCCCAAACCACAACCCAAAACCAAAAAACAAACCCACACAAAAAAAAAGCACCAAAAAGAAAAGTTCAGATAGTAAATTCTATCAAAACTCCAGAACTTTTTGTTTTGTTTTGTTATGAAGATGTATATACCTTGTAGGGAGTTTTAGGTTTCCTGTTCTGTTAGGGATAAATAACATCTTATGCTGGGTACAAGGGGCTGACCATATACTATAATTTCACATTTCTCTGCGTTGCGTGAACATAATATAGGAGATTGTTTTAAAAGGCTAACTTGTGTTTCCGTGTGTCTTTCTCTATTAAAAAATCTAGTAAAAGTTCATCCCATAGTTTTAAATTTACAGTATGGAACACGCAGAATATGATTTAAAGCACTGCTATCACATTCTAAAAATATTCTTTGGAATATCGTAATAAGGGAAACCCCTTTTATAGCACTTATATCTTAAAAAAACAAAACAAAAAAACCCCCCAAAACCCCAAACAACAAAAAGCACCCTCCCAAACAAAAAAAAAAACCCACAACCCCAAACCCTTGCGTGTCAAGTTGTTAGTTTAATTTAAAAGCTTGAAATTTCTAGTTTAATCTTTCTGAGCTGTTATGTCATTTAATCCCTCTGTGATTGGAGTCTGAATCTTGAATATTTGTTGTGAAACTGTAGAAAAGATTGCAGGAGTTTCTACAATTTTTGACTCCTACTGAAAACTTCAGCTTGAATTTTTACAAGCGATCTTCTTAACCATAGAAGATTGCTTCTCTTGTAGAAGAAAAATGATCACACAAACATGTGTCAGAATAATGCTATTGTATATAGAAAAATATGTTCAAATCTTCAGATAAACTGTTCTATAAACAGTTCCTATTTAGCAGTGAGGAATAGCAGTAGAAATATTTCTGCGTTAAAAGGTGGAGTACAAAAGTAATATGTAACTCAACTGCTACCTTTGAAGTGTTGATACTGTCTGGAGATTTTGCAAATTCTAGCCCACTAGTAGTAGGAAAGCAAAAGAGAAATAGTGCTCTAAGTTCTTGAAGATGGAAAAGTGTGTGCGTTTTTTTTTTTAAATAATTACATTATATATTAGTGTTTATCGTGGAAAAAGGTAGGCTCTGAAGGGTAGTCCTCTGTTACACTCGCTAGTTGTCTTGGCTTCTTCAGTTTGTCCTGCTTACTCACTTGGATGTTGGGATACATAATCCACAGTGGTGTAAGTTTGGCATCTTGACAACTTTTGGGTTATGGAGAACGGTCGGTGAGGTGAATGGCAGTCTACCAGTGTTCTGAAAAATCAGAGTACAGCCTAAGTGATCTATTTTAGCCTGTTCTTAGCTTTTGGAATAGGTGTCGTGGAATACACCAGCATAATATAATACCATATAAATTTAATGAGGCTAATGAATCTATGTTAAAAGCTTGTTGTGGTGTTTTTTGTGGGTTTTTTGGTGGGTTGGTTTTTTTCCCCCCTCCCCCAGTAATCTGATGTGGTACTTGGACAGTTGCATTCCTTTTCGGAAAGGTTTTTGTACAGGCATAGCAGTTCTTGGAATAACTAACAAAATATTTCTTGTTATATAAACAAAAACCACTGTCTAGACTGAGTTCTGAGCAAATTTTTATTTAGTCATATGCTAGAATAAATGATGGCTGGGCTATTAGCTGATGGAGAAAAACGAAGTTGTGCTCTGACTTTCCATATGATATCTTTTTCACAATCAGCTGAATACATGTGAACATGTTAACTAATGTTATGTGATCTATGACTTAAAGCCTGTATGTATGTGGAGGAAATCTACATTTATGTTGTGGTCAAAATACAGATTCAGAAGAGGAGGTGCAGTCAGTGAAAAAATCCAAGAAGCCATCTGAGAAAAAAGCAGCTACTTCAAAACTTGGTAAAGTTCTAAAGCAGGATCCTGTTGTTTATATTTCAGAGACAGGTAATGGAAGAAATATATCATTATATGTTCAGCTGTAGTGGGGTGGATTATGTTACAAATGGGATGGATTGTTTGACTGATACACTCTTAAATATGACCATAAAACCTAATATTGAGAAAGACAAATTATGTTCTCCTTAACCAAGGTAACCAAAAGCACTTCAAGTTTAGCCTCAAGTATTGTAAAGTCAGGAGCAGGGTAAAACTGAGGTAATGTTGGGTAGTGGCTTAGGCTGGTTTAAATAGGCATATAATTTCATGAACTAACACTTCCTTGCTTAAGAGTATCCCATAGATTTAGGGGAAGGAGTAAAGTAAAGGAGGTATTTTTAATGTAGTTAAACTGCTCACTAGCACACTTTGTGAAGTGACTTTTGGCTACCGTAAATAAGTTTGAAAACCTGGATTTTTATTTTACTTGGTATATGATTTTCATGTCTTTGATCTCTGCCTAATATGTTGGTGACTGCAAAAGTTCTTGGGTTTTGTGTTTTACTTCCTTATCAATACACAAAATTAAAAAAAAAAAACCAACATTGTCTATTAGACTTTTAGGAAGAATTGGAAAAAACAATTGTAACAAAAACTTGCATTGTACCTTGCATATAGCATACTATACCATGCTTCTCAGTCTTGGATTTCAGCTTTCTAAATTCTGAAAAAAAAACAAACAGCATTGTCTATTAGACTTTTAGGAAGAACTGGAATTGGAAAAAACAATTGTAACAAAAACTTGCATTGTACCTTGCATATAGCATACTATACCATGCTTCTCAGTCTTGGATTTCAGCTTTCTAAATTCTGGAGCTATTTTTGCTCTTGGGGAAAGGATTGAGTGTAATTAACCATTCTTGATTGTTTTCAGGTCTCCTGTAGTCTTATGAAAAAACTGTGACAGTGATTAACTGTTAAGTTCTCAGGAGAGTTTTGTTTAGATTTAGTCTCTTCTTTAGAAGCTGTGTAGTTAAACTAAAAACACAATCTTAACTCAAGCCATAAGTACCATTCAACTGAACACATAAGGGCAAATTCTATCAGTTTGATTGAAGAGTCTTATGTGTTAATTTGTTTTCATTGTTTGCATGGTTGTTGTTCCTTAGTACTGCTTTCAGTGTTGCTTTTTGTGTGATTCCTGACCGTGGTGCTCTCAAGAGGACTTTGACTGTAAATTTACAGGGGAGACGTGCATCTGCTGTTACGGAAGTTTCATCCTGCAGAATTCTCATTAAACATGCTTCCTTCCCAGTTCCAAAAGAAAAAACCGATAGTGATTTTCTGCTGCCCCTGCCCCCTTCCCCTGTGTTCTTAATTCTATCATGAAGCAGTTTTGTTTCCGATTACTTACTTCATATTGTGCATTTTCCTCTACTAAATTTGAGATGTTATGGAAAAGTTTCAGTGGCATTAGCTGCTATTGTTTGATAAGTGAACATCAGTTTATGTAGACTCGGTCTTATTTATGAATCAAGCATCCTTAAAGGCATGCCACCAGCACAGGGGAAAATACTCAGATCTTGTAAATTCTGTAAAAATGCGTCTGGAAGAAAATTAACAGAGCTCAGGGTCAGGTTGGACGGGGCTCTGAGCAACCTGATCTAGTTGAAGACATCCCTGCCCATGGCAGGGGGTTGGACTAGATAAAATTTAGAGGTCCCTTCCAACCCAAACTATTCTATGATTCTGTTTAGCTTAATATTTCGGTACTTCTTGAAGATGGACTTTAACACTTCTTTTTTGGCATCTGAGTACAGTTGGCTGAATGTATATGCATGTGCATTTTTTGTTATGTAGTGTTGTGTGTTTTTTTTTTTTTTTTAAATACCTTTGAAATACATGTGAGCGCTTGCAACTTCAGGGCTGCTTTTACTACTGGTTGTTCTCTTATTCCATCTTAACTAAGAGATCTGTTAGTGGCACTTAAGCAAAGATTAAGACTGTGTGGGCTGAAACAATGCACTTATTAAGATTCTGATGATAGAATGAATTTGATTCCTGTCTTACTGAATGGCATAAATGGGAAACATCTTAAATTTGACTCGGTTAATCTGATAAATTAGAAGCTTTTTTGAACGGTCTACTGTTCAGAGCTGATAGCTTCCCAACTTAAATCTCTTGTCATGTTAGGTTCATTCTTTTCTGATTTGCTTTTAAAACATAACGGTCTCTTTCTGCACTGGAATTGTAATTTCACATTGATCTGTTATAATGCAGATTAACTTAGGTATTTTGATATCGGATACTGATTATCATACTCTGACCACCTGTGCAACACAAGCTGTAGAATTTCCTGAGGGTTGCAACACTAGGTAGACACATTTTGGTTGCAAAAGTATTTCTTACAGTTTGTGATGCATTTCTCTTTATTTAGGCTTGAAGTGAGAAAGGCTTACGGTTTTTTGTCAGTTGCTGCTGCGGTTAGATGTACTTACTGCATCTGGTCTGAGTTCAGCTGAGGCTGTAACTATCAGGTCTTCTGTATTTGTCTCCTTGAGTAGAGTTCTTCACTAGTCACAGGACTTGCCCTGTATGGATTCTTAGAAACTGTGATAAAATTAACAGACTTGAATCCAAATCTATTTTGATAAAACATATTTTTTTAAGTGTTAGAATTCCAGGAGTTCTTCTGTGATCCTCTTCGAGTTTTAGGATACATATTTGGAAAAGTGGTCACAGTCCCTGGGTATAGTATTTTTTTGGTAAGATCATTGCTGCATATAAACATTGCCTCCCTGTAATCATACCATGTATTTTTAAAACAAAAAAGGATTGTTTGCTGTAGTATCCCATTAGAAGTGTGGCTCAGCTGGCTTTTTTCTATACCTTCTTCCTCCTTAGGCTCTTTTCAGAATCACTGTTTCTAAGATGGATTGTGCTTATTTTACTTGTCCTAGATATTTGACCTGGCATTTAGCTGTACTGTGTCACATATTCAAATGAGCTCAATTTTCCAAAGTATCCTGAATACTTTATCTATCTTGTTTGTCCTTTTACTCAAAATTTTGTTTCCCTCAACACTTTTGCCAACAATTCTTTCCTAATTAAAACGTTCTTTAGCAGCATTGATCCCAGAGTAGATAAATGATCAGATTCCTGGGGAATAAACAGTACATGTTTAGGTTTATTATGCAATTCAGGGTGTTGTAATCAAGTTTTTCTGCATAGGGATACCATGGGAACACGGGTCAAGGTTATTAGTGAAATCCCTGAAAACCACGGCTCAAGGTTACTCTTATCTAAAGAGTCTTAAGTACACACAAGGTTGACTTAATAGTCTATGACTAAAACAATGCCTTTATAAGCTTGAGGCTTAATGCTTGAATTTTGTTTATATTTGATCTGTATAAATTGTTTCTTCAGCTTAATGGGGCTGTCAAGCTGAGTGTGTTTTTAATGGTACTGATACAGCTATTGGCTTGAGATAAACACGTTTTATAAGAATAGGAATATAGAAATAGCCGATAGAAAAGATCCTAATGAAATTTGTAGGCATTTGTCCTTGTTTTTAGTGTTATGCAGCTGAAAACTTAAATCAAGAATATGCTTGTTGGACTTGCTCAAAAGTCAGAATCTCATTCTCGAGGGCTCTGTCTGCGGCAATGTGTTTGAAAGAGCCTTTTGGCATCAAGTAGTCAGTAGAAGCTGGGTAGTTAATTGCCTCAACCTGTTTTTCAATTTCATTTGAAACTTTCTTCCTTTTGCTCGAATTTCTTTTCAGCTCTTCTATATAACTGTGGGATACAGCTTACTTGAAAAATGTTGGGGGAATTAACTTTTTGGTTTGTATAAGAGTGGATTGATGAGATTATTGCATTGCTTTGTTTCTTATTAGCTTGTGAAGTTGCCTTTTAAAAAAAAAAAGGAAGAATAGTTGCTGTTTGTAATTCTATAAGAAATACTTTGTTATTATTGAAACAAATTCAATTTACATAAATACTTAGCTTACTGATGGCCAAACATAAAGTGAAGTTATTCTAGCAGGTAACAAGGGAAAAGAAGAGCCTTTTTTGTTGATAGAACAGTCTTAGTGGATTGGGAAAAAAAATCCAAATGTTTGTTGTGTTTGTTAAAATAAGACTGTTTGACTGTTTAATGAAGTATGGAACCTTGAGCTTTGTTTGTAGAAGATGACCTGTTATTATGATGTGTTGAACCTCATCTGGTTTCATCACAGGTGGTTATTTGGCAGGAATTGTGACTTCACTTTTAGTGAATACTTAAACTTTCATACATCGTGTAGAGGTAATTATGCATACGTAGCAATCACATTGATAGCTTGAATATTGCAAAATACAACTTGTTTTTGAAAAAAAAAAAAGCTTTGTTCTAGTGGTAGGCTGAATTATTTATAAAGCTAGAAAAACCAAAGTGGTAGAAACTGAGTAGGTTTGTAGGTTACTGGAAAACTGTTCCTTGAGATCTTAGAAGACAGGGCAAGAAGAATAGTTTGTGAATGTGCTTGCTGAATATAGACTCTTTAATATAGAGAATATTGGGGGTGGGGTGGGGAAACAAACAAAAAAACCCAAAAGCCCACAGAAAAAAAATCAGTTAAGTGCTAGTACTGGTGGCCAAAAAAAAAAGTCCTCACATCCAAACACTGGTTCAAATAAGCAGCAGATTGTCAGTGAATAAGCATATCTTACACGGAAACATTTCATAGGGGAATAAAACATTGTCAGTGTTACTGCCTGGGCAATACTAGCATCGTATATACTTATGGAAATTGCTCTACTTGGGTGAAAATGCGTGAAGGTGACCAACAGCACTCTCTGTACCAGCTTTCCTCTAAAGTGTTTTATGAAGGGTCAGTTGAGAATATGTAGTTGAACCTTAAGGGAGTTTGGCTTGAAATGCACTTGAGGAACGAGAGTATAGGTTCTGGCAGAAATCCTATGAAGAAGCAGGGACTAGTGCTGCAGAGGACAATGTAAAATGTGTTTAGGAGCAAGCCCTGTTAAAATTAATTTGGTTAAGTTTGGGAATAGCAACGGTAGAACATA